AATTTCAATCCTAGGGGTGCCTGGATGGCTCAGTCAGTGAAGCATCTGCCTTTGGCTCAGGTCATGAACCCAGGGTCCTGGGATCTAGTCCCGCATCAGGCTCCTCGCTCAGCAGGGAGCCTGCTTCTCCCTCTGCTTGTGCTCTTTCTCTCTCTCCCAACAAATAAACAAACATCTTTAAAAAAAAAAAAAAAAAAGTCAGTCCTACCATGCAGCTCTTGATCTGGGGGTTGTGAGTTCAAGCCCCACATGCAGGTAGAGATTACTTAGTAAAAAAGTTTAAAAAAAAAATTTTTTTTAATTCAATCCACTTATATTGGCATTCTGGCCCCTTATCCTGCTTATTTTGTTCTTTTATAAACAAATACATAATTTACTTATAATCTGTCTTCTGACAAAGCTCTCTCTCACAGTAACTGGTCATACACACTAGGTGCTTAATAAATGTGCATAGAAGGAAGAAGGTCTGAAAGGCTTAGAGGAGACCTGGTAGAGACTGGGAAGAAGCCCTTCTCCACATATTCTCAGGTCTGTGTCTCCCCCTAGTGGCCAATTCCAGAACTGCAGCCTGTTACCCCCATCCATTTCTCCAATCCCCAAACCTCTTGGTACTCACCAGGGCCAGTGGTCACAGAGGTCCCATCACTGGTGGCTGAGGGCACGGAGGAGGTCTCTGTTCTGGGGCTGGGAGAAGTGGGGCTCCAAGGCAGGGTCAGGGTTGAGGAACTTGGGGGGCTGGAGTGGGAGGTAGGGGTAAGCTCTGAACCAGGGGAGACAGGATTCAGGTGAGTGGGTTGTGAGGAGGCAGACACCAGTCCTGAACTTGGGGGGTTGGGGATGGGGTTGGGTTGGGGGAGGGGCGATGTCTCTGAATTTAAAGAGTTGTGGGGGTTCGAGTAGTTTTCCCCTGACCTATGGGCTCTGGTCAGTTGAGTCTGTTAAAAAAGAAACAGGTTCAAAATGGAGTCACTTGTGCTAAGCCCCACATCACCAAACCAAGACTTACTACCTGATCTAATTGCAGTGTCTACCCCTCTCACTGAAGTGTGACCTCTACCCTGTCAATCTGGAATGACCCAGTCAGGATTTGGGAGATAATCTGCCTGATAGACTCCCTCTCCTCCACTTTCCCCGCTAGGAAGGTACACCTGCTTGAAACAATCCACTGTTTGCCAGAAACTTCCTTTTCCTTCCCCCCTTCTGCCTATAAAAGGCTTCCATTTTGTACAGCTCCTCGGAGCTCCTTTCTATCTTCTAAGATGGGCCCCTGCCCAATTTGTGAATCATTGAATAAAGCCATTTAGATCTTCAAATTTACTCCATTGGATTTTGTGTTTTAATAAGCCTGGCTCTAAACTCAGGGTTCTGGGGTGGATGGTAAAGCCTGTCTCTGAACTCAGGGGGCTGAAGTGGTTGGAGGAAGTTTCCATTGAACTTGGGCGAGGGGGGGGGCTGTAGCGCAGAAGCTGGCTTCTCTAACCTGCTCTCCAAGAGCCCCCCCAAAAAATAACACTTGGAAGGAAAATGCCACTGACCTGGAGGGGAGGGGATGGTTAGGGACGAGGTGGGAGGCCCCAGCCCCAGTGTCTCTCTGGATGTCAATTTCCTTATTATCCCAGATAGTAAACACCTGACGCTCAGCAAGACGGGGAAGATTTAGGGCACCACCGTGAGTGCTCAGTGGGAAAGCAAGGCACCCTGTCTGAAGTCCCACAGCCAGAGTTCCAGGCCAGGTCAGATCCTCCCAGCCCCCAACCTTGCTTTAGGGTTCTAGAGGCCCTCTGAACCCAGGCAGCATGCTGGAGAGCTCTTTCTTTCTTTCTTTCTTTCTTTCTTTCTTTCTTTCTTTCTTTCTTTCTTCCTTCCTTCCTTCCTTTCTTTCTTTCTTCCTTTCTTCCTTTCTTTCTTCCAATTTAGCAAACTCTACCCTCGATGTGGGGCTTAAACGCATGACCCTGAGATCAAGATTCCCAACCTCCACCAACTGAGCCAGTCAGCCGCAAACACCCCGGGGAACTCTTTTAAACCTTTGGGGACTCTGTTTGTCTGTAAAATGGACATCATGGTAAGTCAGAGCCTCTGAGCACTCACACAGGTCTGGTGCCCCGTGGGTGCCCAGCGACACTCAGCTATACAGATGCAGTTCCGAGCTCCAGGGGAGAATCAGCCCCTAATTTGCTTTGCTAGGTACCTGGAAGGTCCCCAGGGCTAAACTCAGAGCCTTAAATAAGGGCCTGGCTTGGAGTCCTGGGCTCTGGGAAGGAAGAATCAGTGGATTGTGTCTCTGGAAATCTACCCTGCTTTGTTCCAGCCACTTCCTGGCTCCTACCCCACCCCAGGCACTGAGCCCCGGAGCTAGACAGGGTGGGTGAAGGTTTTGTGGGCCACCTCCCACAATGGCTTCCCAGTTCTGGGCTCCCGGGTTCTTTAACAGTTTGCCAGTTCATTTGTCAACCACTCCCTGCCCCACCCCATCCACTCTGACCTGGGCAAAAGTCTACTGCCCCTCTTGCCTAACCCCAGGTAGCAAAAATGAGGAAGTAACATCCAGGGCTCACCCCAGGAAGGAGCTGGGTGTATGCACCCACAATGCCCCACCCCACCCCACCCCAGTTCTCTGCCCGGTCTCCCAGGCTCTGTGGGGATGACCAGGGAAGTCTTGAAGAGGCATCGTACTTTGGCATGACGTCATTTTCATTTTTCAGATGGGGAACTGAGGCTCAGGAGGGTAGGGAGTCTGGCCCCAGGTGACTGGGAAGGTGGGAAGAGGGCCCCTAAGGGCCCCCGAGGAGTCAGGGACAAAGAGGCCAGCCTCCCCAAACTGCTTCCCATCACTGAGGAATTTCTGCTGAAATCAGAAGATGACTCAGGGCCACGGTGGACCCCCAGCCAACCCAGGACCCTTGGGGAGCCAAACTTTTAAAGTGAGCTGAAGAATAGCAGTGGGCCTTGAGAGAGGAGGCAGGGGTGCAGGGGACACCATCTCTGCGGGATGCCAGTAGGCAGGTGCTTATGGGCTGCGGGAGACTCGACCAGAAGGTGAAGTGGGGTCCTTTCCATGCACTGCACCAGGAGTTCGCTTTGCCCCGAGAGTCCTAGACCAGGAGGCTGGCGAGAGCCAAGTCAATGGGTTCCAATCTGGGGCTGGCACAGCTGGGGGACTCGTCTTGCCTAAGGCTGTTTCCCGATCTCCTCGAAGAGGGTAAGTGTGGCGTCTTCGGAAGGCAGCTCTTGCCCACAGGAGGAGTCCCATGCATGGTGGCCCCCAACTCAGGAGAGTCCAGGTTTGGGTCTGGGGGATGGGCTCAGAGAGAGCAATGACTTGGTGGGAGACAGAGAACTCGGGGAGAAGGATCCAAGTTCAACTCTTCTGAAGTCTGGGAACTGTCTTACAGGGTGGCAAAAGGAAATTAAGTCAGGTGCCAAGAATGTCTCCTGGGAGCCATAAATAGCCTAAGTGACCAGGAAGTGAACCCTTGTGTCTCCCCGCCGACCCCAACTCCACCAGGGCCACAGGGTCCTCACTCCTCTCCCTGTGGGGGTGGGCTACAAGAAACTGAAGTTCGAAACAAAACCTTGGACTGGGTATGGAGGCCCTTCTAGCCTCTGGCTGGTCCAGCTCCTACTGGGATGGCAGAACTGGCAGTCTCGGGGCTGGGGCTGGGGGCTACAGCTGTGGTGGCGCTCCAGCTCTTGTCACCAGTGCCCCACCTTGCTTCTGAGAGGAGCGGCCCTCCGGGTTTGGGGGGCAGGGAAGACGAGAGGAGGGGCAGGCTGACCGGTGTGGCCTGAGAGAGGGGTCCAGAAGCCAGGTGTGGAGCTCAGCCACGGGCCCCGCTCCAGCTTCCTGGAAGCCAGGCCTCCTCCTGACCTGTTCTTACCTTTACATGCAGCAGTGAAGAGAAATTCCCGGACAGCAGCACCAGAGCCAGCAGCAGAAGTGGCTGGGGCAGCTGGGAGGCTGCCATTCTGGGACTGGGAGGGCTGAAGGCGGGCTCCGCACAGGTGTGTGGCCAGGTGCCTGCAGTCCACACCTGCAGGCCCAGGTGCAGGCACACCCTGCTGGCGGCCAGCGGGACTGTGCCCTGGTGGGGCCTCCAGACTGAGGCCCTGAGGGCGGGGAAGTGGGGTGGGGGAGGGGGGAAGCACTGCTACTTAGTGCTCACCTTGGTGCCCCTGATGCCCTCTCCTGCCACCCTCTCCACCTGGAACCCTCTACCTCTCCTAAAAACCTCACCTAGACCATAACTCTGAAGCCCTCAAACTCTCCCTCTCCCTTCAAGACACTTCCTTCCACCCCCAGTTCCCCTTCCCCTTCACTCTGTGGCCTCCTCCACAGCTGCCCCAAACCCATGCCGCCACCCATTTCTTCCCCCCTTCTCCCCCTCCTCTCCTCAGTCTACCCTCCTCTCCCTCCCTCCCTCTCTGCCCTGTTCCTGCCCCTACAGGCTGGGTATATCTGTATCTGTCTTGATCTCCCCTAGATTGGGGGGGGGCGGTGAGAGAGAAAGGCAGGGTACACCTCCCAAATGAGGAAGTGGCTGGAACCCCCTAGCATTTCCTGAACAAGGCATGCACCTGTAGGATTTTCCAGGGCCAACAAACTCATGGTAGCTATTCCAGGCCAGGTCCCCAGACACTGGCTTCTGGAATGTGCTGGGGACAACTTCCATCTGGAACTGACAGGACCCTACTAGCGGTGGATAGAGACAGCAACCTAGGTGGGGTCCCACGTTAGGCCCTGACCTCCCGAAAAGGGCTTAGGGTCCCCATCCCAGCCACAGGCCCCATGTATCAAGTGCCTGGTTGGAGGCTCCCAACCAGGCTGTTCCAGACCCTCCCAAATTCCACCCCACGCTCCCCCAAACCAGGCCCAAGACACCTCCAGGAGCACAGTTGGACCAAGACTCAGGCTGTGGAGGGTTTTATTCGTTAGACCCAGAGAGCCACAGTGCCCCTTCCCGTGCATCCCCTCTGCCGCCCACCGGTTAGCCAACGTCCTAGACGCCCGGCCACTGCGTGTCCTCTGGGTTGTCCCATGTTGCTGCTCCCAAAAGTGCATCTGGAGTGAGGGAGACCCGGGTGTGGTGGCCGCGCCAGTTGGCCTGAAGCATCCTCGCGGCCATCTGCTGCTGCCTCAGCTGGCGGCGCACGGCAAAGCCCCTCCAGGCTGACTGGATGGTCGTGGCTGCCTTATTCTGGCGATGGGACTGTTGGGGGCTCTGGGAGGCCCTCGGGGTGTCGCAGCCCCACGGCATGCTGGCCTGGACCCTGGAGCCCCGACCCACACCGTGCACCACCCGAGTGGGCAGGGTGTGGCCGCACATGTGGCACGTGCGGGGGCTGGAGCCCACGAGCATCACCACGCTGGGCGGGCTTCCCAGGTTGGGGCTCAGGGACTGGCAGTAAGGACAGACATGCGGCTGGCAGGACTGGAAACAGCGGTGGTCCGATGTGGACCTGGTCCTGCCGTCCGCCTTGGTCCACACACCGGGGAGCGACTGCAGCTGGGTCTCTATCCGGCGGGTGCGGAAGCCTCGCCATGTGGCCTGGATGGTGGTGGCCGCTTGAGAGAGCCGGGCCAAGTCCCGCCGAACGCGGTAGCCGCGCCAGGCGGCCTGGATGATGACAGCCCACTGGTGCCATACCCTGATGGTTCGACGCACCAGGTAGCCGCGGGCGCACGCCTGGATGGTGACCACGGCATGGGTGACGACCTTCTCCATAGCCTGCAGTGACGTCACCTGTTCCCCCGACTGTCTGGGGTCCACCGCTGCCTCTCTGCCCATGGTGTCCCAGGGCCCCGAAGCCAGATCCCATGCGCCGCCAGGGGCCACGGCGCTGGTCGTGGGCCCAGCCGCTCCACTGGGGACGGCGGCAGAGTTCCACGCTTGGCCACCAGCTATGCCAGCGTCCACAGGGCCCTGGAGTACAGTGGGAGTCAGGGACACCCTCCGACAGCCTGCGGGAACCACGGCGCTCTGGAAATCCCAGGAGCCCGGCGTTGACTCCGGGGTAAAAAGGGGCCTCCGGGAACCGTCAGGTGAAGACTCATAGCCCAGAGACACCCTCCGAAAACCTGGGTGCAGCCTAGGGGCAGCCACATTGGGGGCCATATCCATGGTGCGGATGATAGGTGTCACCGCTGGTGGGGTGCTCTCGGCGTGCCCGGGACTCTCCTGAGAGGACCTAGGGACATGCTCCTGCACGTCGTACAAGGGCACCACCCTGGCAACATTACTGTCTAGCATGTCTGAGACAAGATAACCATGCACGGACCTATAGGATTTTCTGGAGCCAAGAGATTTGTGGCTGCTCTGAGCCAGGTCCCCAGGTGCTGGCTTCTTGTGGGCCCTGGGGACCACGTCTACCTGGAAGCCACCAGATCCCACCCCACCAGCCATGGGTGGATACAGCACATGAGAGGCCTTGTAGGTGGTCCCTGACTTCTGGGAAGTGCTTGGGGTCCCCACCCCCACTACAGACCCTGGATGAACACTGGAGGCCCTAGAACGGCTTTGGGACAGCTTAGGGGATGCTGAGGCTATGGGAGAAGCCCCCATCTTGTGGGGATGGCCCTGGGGCACCACGTGAGTCACCGAGGGGCTCTGGGGCACAATGTGAGCCACCGATGCCCGTCGAGCCAAGGGGGCCCCAACAGCCTTGACAGACTCTATGTGCACACTGGAAGCTGTGCTAGCAGTCACAAAGTGGGAACTGGGAGCCCCCCAGCTGGTGGCTGACCTCGGCGGCAGAGTTAGGGTGGTGCTCCCAGCCATCGAGGGCTTGGCAAAACTCAGGGACTGGGGCGGGACAGGAGCCATACCACTGGTCAGAGATTTGGTCTGGCTGGGAACCATCTCCAACAACGGCCTTTGGCCATCGGGAAAGAATTGCTGGCTGTGGCTGTGGCTGACGTCCGCTGATGGGGGATTCTGGGGCATCCATGGGGTTGCGTCAAGGACCATGGACTCCGCACTGGATACGGACACCTGGGACACGGCCTGGCTCAGGTCCTCTGGCTTCCTCATGACCTGGTCATCTGTGGTCTCAAATGACATCATCTCAAGAGCATGGCTCAACTGGGTGGCCCTTTGAAGAACTGTGGGCACCCGGTGTACTCTCCTGGTTGTGCCGCTAGCTTCCAAGGCCTGGGGATGCAGCTGAGCCAGGCCAGTGACATGGGATCCCTGGAAGGGGGCTGTAGACCCTTCTCTAGCCAGGGCTCCATGGTAAGGACGGGGAGTGATCCCAATCAACATGGACCCCTGGGGAAGGCTCTGGGCCACATTTCCCACTGTGGACGGCAGGCCAGCTACATTATCCGTGGACTCCAGCATCAGGCCCTGATTCAGTTCCCCAGAATCTATGGCTGGAACCACACTAGAGGTCACAGGCCTGGGAGACACACCCGGGACCATCCCACCCGCCACTGAACCCGAGATCAGGCTTGGAACAGTGAAACTAAATGAGGGTCTTACAAAGCTTTGTCCCTTCCCACCAGCCCCAGATGTTGCAATCAGACTAGGGGGCACCCCACTAGCCACAGAACCTGGAGGAAAGTTCTGGGCCACAGCACTGGCCACGGGATCTGGAGGAAGACCCTGGCCCATGCCACTGATCACAGATCCTGGGGGAAGGCTGTGGCTGATACCATAGATCACAGACCCTTCGGGAAGGTTCTGAGGCACACCACTGACCACAAAACCGGGCGGAAGGTGGGGAGGCACACCACTGATCACAGATCCTGGAGGCAGGCTCTGGCCCACGCCCCTGATCACAGACCCTGGGGCAAGGCTGGGGGCCACACCACTGGCCACGGTACCTGGGGCCATGGCTGTGGTCATCCTACTGGGTACAGAACCTGGAACCAGGCCACTAGCTGTGTCCACTACAGGCTCCTGACTGAAATCATTTGCTTGTTCATAACCAGGTGCCACGACTGTGGTCACAGAAGGATGCTGCTGGTTCAAAGATATTGGAATATCAACATTGACCTGAGACATGCTGGGGCCTGCATCGGCCTGAGAAAACTTGATTGGACTCATACCCAGTCTGTTGGGCACTGAAGCCCGAGAGAAACCAGGACCCACCTCTGAGGCTTGCTCATGAATCAAAGGGGCACCTGCCCCAGAGGCCGGAGATGCACGGGGATCCAAGCCACTGGCCCCCTGAAACTGATTTGGGCCCATACCAGTCGCCACACTTCTCTGGCACACACTCCCTGTCATGCCCGGAGACAGAGACCCTGGAGACATACTCAGGAACATACCAGCAGCCAGGGTCCCTCGAGACATATTTGGGAACAGGCCAGCAGCCATAGTGCCTGGACCAAGGCCTGTAGCCACACCCGGGAACAGAGCCCCAGGACATGGATTGGTTCCCTGGTCTAGACAAGAGTCCTCTCCACTAGCCCCAGATGCCTGGAAGAGATCTGGGGCTGAGAGAGGGACAGCAGAATGTTCTGTGACGCTTGGGTGCCCCCTGCTGACTCCGAGTGGCTGATGAAACGTCAGCGACACCTGGCTGAACTCATGGGCCTGGGGGTTCGAGGCTACTCCATCAACCATTACGGGATCCTGACAGGGGGCCATGCTGGTGGCCACAGGTGACTGGCTCAGGTCTGGGCCGGTGCTGCTAGTGGCATAAGAATATGATGAACTCAAAGGGACTTCAGTGACCAATGACGGATGACCCAGACTGGGGGCCACTGCACTCACCCTTGACGGTAGATCTGAACCCACCTTAGGGGCCCAACCTGATTGACCAGCTGCACAACTGGTACCAGCAATTACCGATGGCTGGAAGAGGCTGAGGGGCCCCCGATTGGCCACAAAGGGCTGGGCTAGGCTGGGGGCCACCCCACCAGTCATAGGTGGCGGGCATAGGCTGGAGACCATCACACAACCCACTGATGGTGGGGCTAGGCTGGGAGCCACCACACAGGCCACTGATGGCTGGCCTAGGCTGGGAGCCACTCCACTGGTCACTGATGGCTGGTGTAGGCTGGGGGCCACTACACAGGCCACTGGTGCTTGGGTTAGGCTGGGGGTCACCCCACCAGTCACTGATGGCTGCGCTATAGTGGGACCCTCCCCATCAGTCATAGATGGCTTAGTTAAGCTGGGGGTCATTGCATCGGCCACACATGGCTTAGCTAGGCTGGGCGTTACCCCACTAGACATGGATGGCCGGGCTAGGCTGGGGGCCACCCCACTGGTCATAGATGCCTGGGATAGGATGGAGGCCACCCCACCGGTCACAGATGCCTGGGCTAGGCTGGGGGCCACCCCACCGGTCATAGATGCCT